AAATTCTAAACGGTTTTGTGAAATTCAGACCGAGTTTCTATACCAACAGAATCAAATTTGTTGTTTTTGTTGTTTTATTTAATACTAGCATTTGATCCAATTTTGTGACATGTACATCTTTCTATTTATTCAAATAGAAGGTCCTGACGCAATAGAGTTGAATCAAATAAAATAACTATAGCGTTCCCCAATTTACCGATAATTAGGGTAAAATATAACGACTTCAATAGAAAACATTGATGCCACTATATAACAGTCAGTCGTGACTCGATTTAATTATCTCCGAGTCATCTAACATTAGTGTTTACATTTTCTTTAAAACGTTCATATTTAGGATATACTTAGTTTAATGGTTTTCAGATGTATTATTTGGGCGAACGTAGCGGTTGTTATAACGAACATGAAAACAGATTTATGTAGATCGCATGGGAAATGTTTAACAGCCCAAACACGTGTTTAAGAAAGAAGTAAATGTACGTGGAGGTATTTACACGAGATGTTTAAATAGCGTACTGAGACATGTTAGATTTTCTTTATTAATAGTGAATCTTAATGATTTCCTGCAGTGTGATCCACGAGTGTTATGTGCATTGTTACCCGATGCTCACTACCTTGTGCAGACGTTGTAATGATCTTTAATATCTGACCGACGACAGAGTTGTGGCGGATAAGAAGCTTGTCATGGCTTCCGGAGGATCTACGTGCCGCACATAGTGAAGGTCGCTCTTGGATCTGCAGCTATATATATATATATATGTCGTGTTTCGTATTCATACTCAATAACCAGTTTAATATAGTATTTAATCATAATTGAATAAGCTGAATAATAGAGATAAAAGCGCTTCAATGTCTAGATATTTCCATTTCCGGGTACCATGTTGTTTTTTTATGTTCGCATTCCAATAAAGGTGTACTTGGGGTTGGTCCATTAACTTTCATAAAGTTGTTCACTCCTCACATATGTCTTAGTGAGGGCAATGACTTCAGATCTGTTTTCACCAGGTGGCTGTACTTTTTTTAAATGAAGGGAGAGTACTCTTTATTATTGTTACCTTTATCATGCTGGATTGTAGGTTAATGATGGACCGCATGATGTTTACTGTTGCTGGTTATTCTGTGTGCTAGGGCGAATTCATTATAACATAGGTATTGTGCCAGAGTGTCTGGTTTTAAGTGAACAACTGTGAATAATACTGGGAGCGATACAATACTCGCTGTTGTAGAAATATTATCATGTGAGTATAAGTATTTTCACTGCATATGTAACATTTTCTCCGTATCACGCTAATTGGATTAGTTTGTAATTATAATTATTATAATAGGTATCTCATGTATTAGATGTAATTGGAAAATGTGTTTAATTTTTCACGCGTTTTATTGATGGAATTATGTCTTCGTGTCGAGGTGATTAGCGATGACAATGATGATAGATTTGTCCATGGTTGGATATAATTAAAAACTGGCTGACAGAATGGTCAGTTAACAACATGTCAGTGTTCAGGGCAAACAAAATAATCAAATTAAACTTCTGTACTCCGACAGCAAGTTGTGAAAATGTGTCATCAAGCTCTGAAATCTGTCTGGACTGTGAGTGAATTGAGTCTTAGACGAGTAAAGTATTGTTTAAATCATGGTCTGAGTATTCCCTCTTTTGTGTGACAGTAACAATCGTTCGAACTGTTTCGAAAAGAAAAACGACCGGCAGGGTATAACATTAGGATATTCACATTATTTAAATAACAGAGTTATAATTTTTATTCAGTACACTTAGTATGGGCTAAGATTAAAGCTAATCCAATATGTTTACACATCGGCTAGACCCAGTTACTTTCACGGATGAAGTGACCTGCGTTTAGTACGGACTAAGGGATGACAAAACATACGATGAATATACAAATATCCAGTCCGTTTAATTCCGATTTATCATCACAGTAACCAGCAGGTATACATTTTAACTCTATGATTCTGAAACAATAACAATGCATTTATTAATTTCTTTGCGTGAGAACACTCTCTCTGTACGCTTACGTTGTTTGCGATGTCGGAAATGATATACCGAAATTAATGATTTTAAATATACTAGTAAGTGTTTCAACCGAATCACGAATACAATGGTATTTTGTGTCCATGTTATTATATATTAGTGAGCGTTTTGCCCGAGCTAGCCCTTCAACCACACTTCGTTAGCCAGTGCTGTGTGTCTAGACTCGGTCGAGGGCGGTCAGATTTAATCCGTTCCTTGTGGTTTATTGGCCCGTACTGGGCGTTCGCGCTCGTTTTTTCCACATGGGCTAAGGTTTTTGACCTTCCAGTCTGTGCTAAAAAGCTGTGCGAACAGAACTATATTTTATGTAATCCAACTCATCGTTTTGATGTTCCAGTATATGTGAATTAAAATTGAATACTTAATTAACAAAAAATCCCTTCTGTGTAATTTCCACTAAGTGTCACGTACCGAAAATACTGACGAATATATAACGGTGACTTTAAGTATTTCAGTTGACATGTTGTAACTCAAATAATGTATGATTTTCTATACTGACAACATCCACAATCTGAAAATTAAATGAAACCATTGAGGTTATCATCGTTGTTTGGTGTCGTGTGTTATTTTAGATTTGTTAAATTAATTTGCAAATTTAACGAATCGGATTTAATCAATATACAATTTCTCATTTTACTTCATATTGTGCGCGCTTCTTGTACATCGAGAACTCGCTTTATGTACCGCTATACTATGTTAAACGAACCGTTACTAGTTTGTTTTGTGTGCGAGTTGCTTCAATGACCTTATTTTCTCCATCGATAACCAGTTGAGTCGAAGCATTTACACAAGACATTATTTGATTTGTTTAAAAAACCTGTCAACATACAAGCTGCTCTATGATTGGCTTCACTGTTAGGTGCCAGGGTTGTGTAACCAATCAGGCACTTGCAAATCACTTCGACCTGATTCATGATCGCGGCAATATGGAGTTCATCGCTAGGACATTGCATGTATATGCAATAGCACAATTTCACTGGTTCGTCTTTTATTAGTCTTTAACTTCAAACAAAAATAAAAATTATGACCCAGTAAAATTCAAAAAAATGTAATTTAGCATAACTGTTCATTATTGTGTTCTTCATATAAAGCATTTCAACAATAATGGTCAAGGTTCATCTAGATTTGCTTTAAAAGGCGTAAAGCAATAACATCGAACGTGACGTTCATAAAAAATAATGGAATATATATATAAAAGAATCTATCAAATGCGTGCCAGTGTGAGTACTATCACACAATGGTGTCACTTCAAGTCAACTACCTGGGAAATATGTACATTTGTGTACACTATTGGCTATGAACATACACCCAGGTGATATATTTCCACATTTCGTTAAATCAATTAAACATATTTGTTTATGGGGATATTATTTCATATTTAACGTTACATACTTGACCTCAATGCGAAATGAAATGTGATATTTAATTTTAGTTTTACAGAAATTACATATGGTGGTTCAATATCTGTTTTCGACGTTGTCGTGAGCAGCGTTAGCTTGACAATGGTTACAAAAACTGGAGTAATTGTAATCCGATCTTTATAAAACGTAAAAACTATGGCTTATTATATGTGTGCAGAAATATATTTTAAATGATGTGCGTGACGTCACGGACTTGAATTGCGCATGTACATTTTCGTCACGACAAGTGTGTGTTCATTACATACTATTTCAATCAGCCTTTTTGATGACAAACATGTCAATAGTGTAACAGAAAGTGTGTCTGCTTTCGGCGACGAAACACATTCGTGACTTCGAATCTCTCACGCTTGTTGCGTGTTCATTTCAATGTCACTGCAATAATTATTATAACTATGGTATTTCAAACTTTATTTACCTATGTCTCCAATGAATAATCAATGAGATGTTGGAAGTTGGAAGCATAGTTCCAAAATCTCACATGATATGTTCATATATTTATATATCATTGTTTAGGATTAGAAATGTCCCACTAAATTTGTAATTTGTAGATTACGATCTAGTCCTCCGTTTGTCGGCACGTGTGAACAAGGCTTAAGATTATGTATTCAAACAAAAATTGTGCCACCTAAATTTACTTGGTAAACAGTTTACTCCATCTCAGTGTTTTCTGAAACTGTTTTGAAAATTTTTTTTGTCCGAACTCCCTATTGCATTGGGGTTTATTTTGGCTTGATTGTCATGTTAATTGTTATACTATTTTTAAAACAAACTTTTGTAAAATGATATACTATTTTCCGTTCACTACGATATCCTGCGTTTTTCAAGTGAAACTGTTACGCACTTCGGAATTTTGATTTTTTTTTTTTTTCACAGTGATCATGAATAGACTCATCAATCAATGTATTACATGTAGGCAATCAACATTTTCATTAAGAAAATGAGTTTGAAGAAAATGGTCTATAAAATGGACTTCATCCTTAAAGTGAAATATATTAAAATTAGAGTAGTAGCATTGCCCTTCCCTAGTTTTCACAATTTTTCTTACAATAATTGTCAACTGCTGTTTTCAATCAAACAGGTCATTAACATTTATGCAACTAGTTCACATTGGATGTTTCGTGCATGCACAATTACTGAGATGTGCTTAACGTGTGTCATAACATTACCTTGACATAGGATTTACTGGAAATTTACAGTGTGATGTTTTAACATTATGCTACACCATGCTATTATAATGCATAGGCCTAATTTATATACCTGAATATAATAAAGATTACCAGAGGCGGTTGAATTCAGAGCAGTCTGCAAATATGTATAATACGATTATTATTCTATTATACCACCTTGTATTTTTAATTTCGCCATCGTTCATGAGTTTATCCATAATTTTTAATTATGTTTTTTTTTACAGATGCAGATATGATGTGTCACATCGAATCTTAGAATGATGGCGCCAACTTCGATTTTCCGGACCACGGAGCTTCATTTGTGATATTGTTATTTGAATGGAGAAAACGTTGCTGTATCCTGTAACCATGGAAACTCATGTTACATACGGGTTCGACATTAATAATATTACAAATGGATCAGGATTCAACAATAGTTTTTACTACAACCTTACATCTGGTGAACACGATGATGTCAACAATAATGATAGTAATTTTGTCGATGATGTTGATACTGCTTTTAGGGGGAATATCGCCAGTGACGTCCCTATTGGAATAATATTAAGTATCATCAGCTTGATTACCTTCTTGGGAAATGCGTTGGTCATACATGCTGTACGAACGGAGAAACGACTACAGACTGTGAGCAATTATTTTATTCTCAGCTTAGCAGTAGCTGATATGTTGATTGGAATGGTGATAATGCCATTGAGTACAATGTATTACTTAGCTCATAGATGGCCACTTGGATTAGGCATCTGTCAGATGTGGTTGTCTCTGGACTATGTGTGTTGTACAGCGTCTATACTGAATCTCTTTATTTTGAGTTTAGACCGTTACTGGTCGATTACGTCACCGTTAAAGTACTTGAGGCGACGTACGGGAAAACGCGCCTCGATTTTGATATCAATGGTGTGGGCAGTATCATTGTTATGGGTTATCCCTGTTACTGGATGGCATGCGTTCAGTCGAGGAGGCGAACGCGTCATACTACATGGACATTGTGATGCAGAGTTTCACAGAGATACAATATTCAAAGTTGTTACGGGAGCTGTTAATTTTTACATCCCGATGATTATAATGGTATGTCTCTATGGAAGAATTTTTCACGAAATCAGGAAGCGGTCCAATCTTAATATTGGGCGGTGTACTTATGGACACGGCGTTTCTGTGACGACAGATACTACTTATGCCTATGCCAAGGACTTTAGGAAAACATCAGTTAATGATCACGATTTTCACACAGAGTACGAATTTGACAGTTCACAGAGTAATGAAAGAGATTCAGAAGTGAAAAACTTGGAACAAGAAGCAAGATTTAACTTTACGAATGTAGCTTTGCTCAGGCGACTAAAAAATATCATACGAACAGACAGAAATGCCAACCCAACTGTGGCTCGGAATCTCGACAGTGATCAACCTTCGTCAACTTCAAACGAAGACAAACTGTTACATTCTGAATCTTACGCGGATGATGACACCCTGAGGTTCAATGGGACAACATCCAACACAGATTCGCCAAACGGGCAGATATGTATTTTAAGGCCTCCACCGACACCCCACCTAAATGTAAATAACAGGAGAATAACAAAAACTCCAGAACCTGAAGTAATTTGGAGACGGAGATCGGAGGATGAACTTAAACCTCCTCCAATGCATTTCGGGAAAAATGTCAAAAACCATTCACCAAGCACTCCGATGCAACGTAGCAATGCCAGGAGATCGCCATATCATGTTAGCGCCACACACCTCACTGTGACGTCACCGGGCATGAAAACCCGGAAGCTGGAAGTTACCAGCGGCATTGCACCAAAAAACTCTAAGAAAAACACGTTTAAACTCGGAAAACTTGAACACTTTTTAAAAGCTCCTCGCAAGAAGCGTTTTTCTGCCACTTTAAATAGAGAACGTAAAGCAGCTAAACAATTAGGGGTCATCATGGGATGTTTTATACTCTGCTGGCTTCCCTATTTCATTCTCTTTTTAATAGTTGCACTCTGCAAGGACTGTATACCAGAAAACATTTACTATGCCACTATTTGGTTGGGGTATGTCAATTCAACACTTAATCCTTTCCTGTATCCACTTTGTAACCATAATTTTAGGCGAGCATTTAGGAGAATATTACATTTACAAAATCCCAGAAAAAAGAAGTAGCAAATCAGTGGATATTGCATCGCTACGGGTAATCTATCCGTTGAACTTAAAACTGTTGGCGTTACCATGGATATACAAGATAACAAGTTAGACTTTTAAGAATGTATTAATAAGACGACAGTACCTATTGCAAACACAAGATAAATATTATTAATTTTTATTTCTATCTACAATCGATCTTGTGATTTTATTAAAATAGGATAGGATCCTTTCAAAACCAGATAGTTTTTTTTAATGAACAAAGTGATCACGTCAATCAATGCACATAACATTGTTACGCACTTTATGGTATTTGAAACACAAGGTGGTGTTAACACAGCTAGTTTTACTCCAAATTGTGAGTATTGTGCTTAAAGCGTAAAAGAGTTTATCATCCTTGATGGGTGAGATAATACACTCGCATT